ACTACACTTGAGAAATTGTCACACGAGTAGCAATCCCTAGATCCCCGGATCTACCGATTGATCTGTAGTGCTACCTAACGGCTCGGACCAAATACACATATCTCTTTTAAGTAGAAGACACACTCCATTGTTACATGACGAGAGGCGCGCTCAAGCAACAGACTCGCCGGATTTTCACATCAACAATATAAATTATAATCTATTATATTTTTAATAATATTTCTAATCTTATACAAATCTATATAAGTCTATTTGATTTCAATTTTTGGAATTATAATAATTGCTTTATATATATATAAATTTTGATTTTTTTTTACTTCAAATTAGATTGCATACTACTTTAGTTTATAAATCTTGGATGAAAACCAATATACAAATATATATATTAAGGCTAAACTATTTAATTCTATATAACATATTCATTAATAGTCAATGGCTTCTAAGTATAATTATAAAATAATAAAAAAATTGTTTAATTTTGAAAGACATTTTTTATTTATTATAAAATATTACAACCAGCTCTTATTAAAGATTATCATTTCTATATAATTACTATAGTTTTATAAAGATAAAAAAATTTAAAGGAAAGAGAAATATAAAGTTAAAAAGTTTATATTAAACTTTTTTAAATTAATTTCAAGTTTAACAATTAATAACTAGAACTTATTTAATTTTTATTATTCTTATTGCCAATTAAAAATATTTAAGAGTACTTTCAGAAGAGTGTTTTTTAAAACTTTATACTTAAGATTTCTTATCAAAAAATATTTAGTTTTTTATTATTAATTTCTCTTTCAAGTTGACTCTTTTGGACTTATAATTTTATTCAATTAATAAATGGTTTCAAGTTCTTTTTCTTTAACTATTTTTAGGATAATTAATAATAAAAAAGGTTTATTACTAAATTTGAGATGGATCTTTTTTCAATCTTGAAAAGAAACTAAACAAATACAAAAAGGAAAAAAAAATATTAAGATATTTTTTTATAAACAGATATCTTGTTATCTTCTTTTTTTACTTGAATCAATTGTATTATTTAATTTTATATTGTATAAAATAAAACATGTATTTTGTTTATATTTCTTATTATTTATTAATTAATCAATTCATATTTTCAATCAATTATTAATCAAGGATTTTAGTATAATTAAAAATTCAATATCAAATTAAAATAGACAAAATTCAACAAAAAAATTAGAAAAAAGTTTGGATATTTAAAGAAATAAAAAATAACTTAAAAGATAATTTAAAGTTTTAAAAATTAATCTTATTTTTTTTGAAGTTTTAATTTTTTGAAAAAAAAACAAAGAAAATATTTTTTCAACAATTTTTTTTTCTAATAAAGTATTTTTATTATTAACTTTATAAGTAGTTTTTTTTGTACTTATTTATTGAAACATATAAAATTTATTTCAATAAAAAAAAACAAGTAAGAGAAGGTTAAAGCTATGGTTTCAAAAATTAAAATTGAACAGAATTATTTAGACTCATATAAATTTAAAATACTATTAAAAATAATAATAGATTATAACTTATATATTAAATTTAATATAAATTGAAAATTTAAAATCAAATCAAATTGTTAAAATTCTTAACTAATATTAATATTATTAAAGAAAGTATATAAACTTTAAGCTTAATATTAAGTAAAAAAAATTTAAAAAAAAATTTTATTAAATAGATATTAAAGTTTTATTAATCTATAATTAATAATTAATATATTGAAATAATTTGAATAATTAACTATTGTTATTTTTTAAAAAATTAAAATTTTTAATTAATTATTTTTTTTTAATTAGAATTTAATAATATTATAAAATATATTTAAATTTTTTTTATATATTTCTATTACTAACCTGGGGATCTATAGCATAATGATTAGTGCTTTATAAGTCAGATTACAAAATATTAATTCAATCTTATATAAAGACAATATATCAGAATTTTTATAATATTTGAAGCCATAACTTGTTAAAATATTATTTTTTATAATAAATTATTTTATATGTTAATCCAATAGATATTGAAATTGAGATTTTCAAAAAAAGTATTGTGATATGACAATTATATAATAAATGTTATAATAATTATCAAAAGTTGTAAGGTATATAATGTGTTTATTTTTTTATTATTTATCATAGTACTTGATATCTCTTTCTACAAGTTTTTGGAAAGGCCTTATTCCAATTTAGTAATAAATTGCTTTGATGTTAATTATCTTAAAAAGGTAATTAAAATAGTAGTAAGTATTAATAATTAAAACAATATATTGACAGTAAATCTATAAAATAAGTTTTTTAAACATTCTCAAGTAACTTTATGAGAGATGAATATTAAATAGTATATCTATTTGCAGGTGATTGAGTTTAAAGGGATTTTTTATAAAGTTTTATTTACTAATAAATACTATTCTCAATTCTTTTTTTTCAAATTTCTTTTAATACATTTCCTAGTTAAAAATAAAGCTTAACATATAATAATGATACTAATGGCATTGTAGCATATTAGCCTTGACACAAATAGATTACAGGATGTATAGCTAATAATAACAAGCCAATATGAATGTAAAATCTGATATAGCTTAGTGATTATTTAGAATAATTCATAGGTAGTAACTTCTTGTAATATATGATATAAACATATATGAATTAAATAAAGAACACAAGACATGGCCCAGCTAGTTGAGTTAAAATATATATATATATTTCTATTACTTCTATCTTTAAATAAATATATAATATAATTATAAAACATATAAATATACAACAGATACTAATAAATAAAATACGGTAAAATAAACTTCTGCTAAAGATTTAAAAAAATTTTTTTAAAAAAAAATTTTTTTTTATAAATAATAATTGATAAATTGTAATTTGTATTTTATAAATTATAAATATATTTTAAATATATATATTTGATCAAATATTTATTATATTATAACTTTATAATTATTTGTTAGGTTTGTATTGTTGAATTTTTTTTTGAATTTAAATACCTTTTTTATATCTATATTTTTAAAATTTCTAAATTCATTTATTTGTATACTTTCTTCGATCTGATGTCTTTATTTTTTAAATATATAATAATTGTTTATTATTAATGAACTTTATTTTTTTTGCTGCTTGTTTATATTTATATTTGATTTGATTTTATGTTCATTTTTTTTTATTTATAAATCTATCTTGATAAAATTTCTGGTTATGCTATGTACAGATAATAAGATTTGTTATGGTTTCACTTAATGAAGGATTATAAAGTTTGTAGTATGCGTATACTTATACTTCCTGCTTCTTATAAAATAAAAGTAATTAAATACAGTTATATTGACTGGCCGTCAATATCCTGTTATCCCGTATATTTTCACCTTACCATCTTTTAAATTCGTGTGATTTTTGAACAGACAGATGTAATAATATTAAATATAGACAGAATAAATTATTTAACTTCCATTTCTTATGAAATCTGATGCATGCACTTGCAGATAATTAAATGTTTTTAGTCCAACTGGGAAGAATATACATGATCTCCACACAATTTTTTAGCCTTTGTGTTCCATCTAACAATATTGCTGCTGATCCTAATTCTTCGATCTTTTAAATATTAGATAGTCTGTTAAATGTAATCCACTCCATAATCTCTTCACATATAATACTTTTAGGTTGAAATTCTTTGATGCAATTATCGTTTCCACTAGTCCATCTTCGAGTGGTTTTAAAAGGATCAGACGACTGGCACCATATGAGAGAGGTGTTTAACTGTACACGCTCTCCGCATATGTTATATCCTTTAGATTAATTTTTAGCGTGTTTATCAAATCAAGCATTTTTTGCATAAGTGTGTTGCTTATTTTTGCACACACTTGTAAAATCCAAACTTTAGATGCATTCTGTTTACTGTACTGTACTGTATTAAATTAAAATAAGACATGTGGGACAATAGTAACACAATATTGTATTTTTGTAAATAAAGCTGATCACGGGTCGTGCATCGCAGATCGTCACTTTGCTCTAAAAAAGTCATCAAATAAGTCAGTCATGAACGATACTGATGATGCTATACCGATCGAAAAACCTTTTATCCCCAAGTATTTGCAAAATAGTCCTCTAGATATTTATAACAGAACGGCTGAAAGGCCTATACCATTACCTAGCAAATGGAATTTAACCGATCATGGGAGGGGTATGTGGGTGATTGAAAATCAAATGGGGATTGAATATATAGGTAATTATTGATTCGTGGTTACTATTTATGGTCGAAAAATTTTCTGAATTTCTTGTTTAATAAATTCAAGGAATTGGATTGGCCGCAGCCATAAGGTCAGACCATCCTATTCCTGAAGAGGCCGGAATTTATTATTTCGAGGTTGATATCATAGATAGTGGCCCAAGGAGGTATATATTCGGAGAAGAATTTTTCAGAATGATACTTTTAATAAGTCCTATGATATTTATTAATAGTTTAATCGGAGTTGGATTTGGAGGAAAGAATGTGAGCGTGAATATACAACCAGGTTTTCGTTTTATATCATAATAATTTTGAAATTTACTTTGTACATTATACATAAAATTATTTCAAATATGCTTTACGAGTACCTGAAAAATTCCACGGTTTACACTCACATTCCATATTCATAGGTTGGAGATCTTCATCAATCGGGTATCACGGTGACGATGGATTAGTATTTATCGAGAGAGGTTTTAGAGGAAATATATATGGACCTTTATATTGTTCAGGTGATACCATTGGATGTTGTTTGAATTATTACGATGACACCGTATTTTATACAAAGAACGGAATTAATTTAGGTTATATGAACATATTATTCCTAGATGTGAATTGTTTTCTCTGTCATTGTTTAAATATTCATTGATCTAATAGGAATCGCTAGTACTAGAATATTTACAGGAGATATGTACCCAATGGTCGGCATGAGAAATCTACCAGCGCAGGCTGAGATTAATTTCGGTTCAAGACCTTTTAAGTTTGATATTGAATACTATGCAAAGGTAATTTTATGACTTTATTTGGTTAATAAGTTTATGCACATTAGATCATAAATATTCCATCAATATTATTTTTGAAATGTATATATTTGATGCGCATTTTTAAGCCTACAAATCTGACTTGCTCTACTCATATAATATAGACAATTTTTGATAAATTCAAGATCCATAGACAAGACATTTCGGAATTTGGAGATGTTTCTTTTGGAATATCTGATTTAAAAATAACGGGATTATGATTTTCTGCTTCAAAAATTTATCTGAGAATTTTTATTAAAATGAAAAAGCTATATGTATGGCATTTCCTCTCGTTTATCATATTAGGAAGTGAAATTTGCGTTTTAAGAATTATATAGTGGTAATTTTTTTTATGGATTCTAATTGCAGAAAAATAATATTACTGTAATTTTAAGTCATTTATTTATTTATTTGAGACCAAGTTTTGGTAAATTTCTATATCAAAAGTTCATTGTTTGCCATAAATTTTATGGTGCCATGCTAACGATGTCTATTATTTTTTATTCATGGTTAAGTGATATACTTTATTAATATTTTAGCTAATTTTTTTTTATTCTTATATTCTTACGCAATAATTTAAAATTTGGGCATAAGTGTAACTCATTAAATTAATTTAATGATTAATTTAAAGCCTGATAAAAATTAATACTTTTAAGCATTTAATTACAAGGTTTAAAGGTTTGAAACATTCTTGCATATAATTAAAATAAAGAAACGTGATTTTGATTTAATAATGATATTATTATCATTATTTGATCAGTATTTCAAGTATATTTTTCAATTTAATGAAAATTTAATGTTTTCACATTTTGCAAATAAATAATTATTTTCTTGAAAAAAATTTTTTAATTATTAAAGTATTTTATGAAATTTTTATTAAATTAAAAATTTATAAAAGCATGATTTTATTTTTATAAATAGTTTTCCAACTGATTTCAATAATCAAAAAATAAAAATATTTATTAAATATTTATTTCGTTTGCGGTTTATTTAATAATTCCTATATTTTTAAAAAATTATTATGCACAAAATTATATTACATATAAACAATTTGTCGTTACCAAATAAATGATCAAAGTTCAAGTCCTATTTTGTTTTCGTGTAACATTATGCAATGCATATAATATTGAATTCATTGGAAAATTCGAGTTAAAGAGATCAAATATGTATGGTTATTGTCCCGAATGTAATAAAAAATTCACAGAATATGAATGATGCATATCATGTAATGGAATTCGCTTTCAACAAGATTTTGAAAAATGGACAAGTTGAAATAAAAAAAATTGACGAATTTATACAAAAGTCTCGGCTTCAAGCTAAGAAATGGGTTAATGTATTAGAATGGATACCGTATACACAATTTCAAGATTCAAATATATCGCTAAAGGAGGATATGGAACTGTGTATTCTGCGACATGGGAAGATGGTTTTGTCACGATATGGGATGTTCCCAATAAGAAGTGGCATAGTCCCTATCCTAATAGAAGAGTGGCATTAAAAAGCTTAGATAAGCTTAGCTCAGTTGACGATCTTATAAATGAGGTAAAGAATATTAAACCTCGTTTAACTATTGTTTTATTATTAATATAATTTATTTTAAATTTTAGATTGAGAAACATTCCATTATGTGGTATGGTAATGTCATCTCGTGTCATGGAATTACGCAACAAGCAGAATCATTATGCTACACAATTGTTTTTGATTTTCAAGAAAATGGCAGTCTCAGGAATTACTTGGACGAAAATTTTTACAAAATGAATTTAAAATTAAAATTAGTTCATAGAGACTTTCATCCTGGAAATCTTTATCAATTATCCAAATTACTTAACATGCTATACCAACAATGTTAATAATCCCAACATCCAATAACACACCATACATGACATTTTCTATTCTCCTGGACATAGTTATAATAAAGAGAAGCAAGCAGTGGATATTGATTATATATCAAGACCCTTAAGGCAAAATTATTATCACCAATCCTTTCAACATCTTCACGATTCCATATCTGTTAAACCATCCATCTAGATAGCTTATACCCACACCTAACCTAACCAAAAAAAAACAAAAAATCTCTCTATTATCCAAATTGAATTCTTCTCCAATTAAGACAAAAAGAGCCTTTCTACTTAAGTATCAGTTCACAAAGAAAAATTATCCAGATATTTGGATAAATTCATGGAATACCAAAACTCATTCCAATCAATCTTTAAGAAGGATAATAGTCTTAGAAATTTTATCTTCTAGATAGTTCTTAAAAAAGAAAGAAATTATTTCAAACACATTTCATGGAACAGAATTAAAATTATTAAAAATACTTTGGAAGACAGAAAAACTTATACTCTCAAAAATATTCATTATCCCAATTTTCGATCTATATACTACTTATCCATATTCACAGCCACCCCATTAAAAATTTTCATAACAAAAAACTCAATTACAAAATCACAAATTAAAGATCTTGATTAATAGAGTACAGTTAAACCAATTAAAAAAACTTATAATAACCAATCAAATCTCAATATAATTGTAAATAAACTCCTTCTATTGGTTACCTATACAAATAAAAACCAACCAATAGTTGTCCACCAAATTTTCTCAATAGAAATCTTTAGCAATTAAACAGTATTAACTATCAACCTAAACTTTCCCATATCAGACAATATAGAAATGGACAATACTGACAGCATATATCAGTATCAAGAAAAAAAAATATTTCTGTCCTAAGTTAATTAGAGGATCCAACCAACTCTTTCAACATTATAGTTACTGTTACTTCATGCTTCAGTACAAATTTAATCTCAAAAACCATATCTCCAATCCTATTAGTGATAGCTAAACAACTAAAGATTACTAAAAATCCCATAATCAAAAACAAGTATGATAAAGAAGCATTACATAAAAAGAGAATAAAGATGATAAGAACTAGACTACTCAGATAAAAAGAAGACAAACTGCTCCTATCCACAAATATTGAAGAATATAATATTCCAATTATGAATCCAGATGAAACAGACAACTCTATCTCTTCAGACTTTGTCAGCAAACATAATGCAATTATCTGCTGAGCATCCAAATTCTCCTCTATTAAAAAAAATCTTAAGAAACTAGTTAAACTAATTCTTGACATAGCAAACACTTCCAAAGAACTAGTCAAACAAAAACCTGTTTAGTTATCTTTATCAAAATAGAAGCCAGAGACAAAAGCTTCTTTACTTTTAATAAGTTAGAAGACCTTGATAGCACTTATCTAAAGGAATATGAAGCTCTAGAATTCAGCTTCCAAATAAACTACAAAAAAAAAACATCATCTCTCAGTTTAACCATAAGGTCAAGTACAAAATCAGACTTCTTTTAAATGCAAGTATTTTTATTGCATATCTACATTACATCAAAATTAGTTATTTGGGATTCAGATTGATTTCTTATATCCTGGAATATAAGTATAACCTCTTCTATTGCCCTAAAAATAGCAAAAAGTTAGATTACTTCCATTTAACAAGAGTGCAAAAAGGTATTTACAGAGTTTCTCCCAAACCTTTCCTTAACTCTAGAAAAAAACCCCTCCCAAATCAAAGTCAAAGTCCCATTTAGAATCCTTATTATTAACAGAAATACTATAGCAGAAATAGTCAAATCTCTGTACTCTTATTACAAATTCTCCCTTTTTCCAGAAACTTACTTCTCTATATTACTCCCTTTATCTGATAATCCTAAAGACCTCTTGAAAGGCCTTTCTCATCACTTTCCAATTAAAAAAAAAAGTAATCTCAAAAATCTGGACTTCAAAATAAGAAAGCTCAAAAGGTTCTTCACAGTTCTACCTAAGATTTCACAATTCTATTTTGATCTCCTCTCTTCCAAGATCCTACTACTACTTGACCTTGATCAATTGAATCTTGAATTTGAACAATACTTTCTACTGGACACTACAGTACATGACATAGGTCTAGTAGTATATAATCTCCAAATCAAATACTACTTCAAGTGTCTTCCACCCTATTTCTTTTAATAAAAAAATCCATTATCACACAATCCTTACTCAATTCAAGATGTTCTCTTACCACTAGACATACAAATTTTCACAATCAATAAATATAATATTCACTTATTAATTAACTATTACAAAAGAGAATTCTTCTTTTCACTTTTCCTAGATGCCTAGTGAATTCTGCCAATAATCTTTCAAACAAATAAATTCAAACTATTAGCAAATATTCAAAAAGTAGACTCATTATATAACCTTGATCAATTTATTCCTAAAGATAATGAATTTAAACAATTAATCAAAAAACTTCACAATATATACAAATTTTCAAAAGATTTCTGACAAATGATTCCAGGCTCCTTTACTATCATTATCAAAAAATCTTGCAATTATCAATCAAGTTCTAAAAGAAAGATATATCTTCTTAATCAATGTTCTCTTATATGGTGATGACCTTCTTTCAACTAATATAATGGAACTACACAAGATCTTTCTTTTTAACAAATTTCATGAATCCTTAATTATTAAAAAGACACTTCCAGAACCAAAGTTTACTCTCATTTCTTTCTTATGTTAAATTATCTATGTTTATAGACAACAACCTCACCAATAATTGTCTCTACACTTATAACTTCCCTATATAATCACATCCTAACTTATCTATCATATATTACAATACAACTTAATACTTCATTACTAACCTCTCTACTTAACCAGAACTCACACCAAATACAAACAATACAAAAAATCTTATCACACTTATCACTATTAACACAATAGGTTTCAACAATCCTGTCAAACTAAAAATCCTTGCAAATGCCACAAGTAAAAGGCCAATTATTTTCTGCACAGAAACCAAACTCAAAAGCAAAAACTTTTATTCTAAAAACATTAACGATAGATGTCTAATTTATGGAAAATCTATTAATATGGCAAAGAATAGTATTCTACTAATAATTGGAAAGAACCTGACCCCCATGTATTAAAGATCTGCAATACTTCAGAATACTATTCATCTATCATTATAAAATTCAAAGAGAAAACAAATATATTGCTCTTAGTCATACAGTGTGTAACAAAACTTTTTGGAATTTTTTATTTATTGATTACTCAATAACTACTGCATAGAAAATAATAAAAAATATATCAAAATAAAGCTGAAAATCTAGAGATTTTATTAATATATAATTAATAATTAATTCTTTCACC